AGGTGCAGCACGCACACCTGGAACCCCAGCAAGGCTCTCCCCCCCCACATTCTGTACTGAGATTGCACCCCGGACAGGTGCAGCATGCACACCTGGAACCCTGACACTAGATCATGGATTAATCACAGATTCAGAAGCCACTCCATGACTGTGTGAGGCTTTGGGGGACACCTAGACCCAAAACGTGACAGTGTGTCAGTCAGCTCACACTCCTCTGGAGTCAGAGTGTACCGATGGGGTCCTGGTACCCACTGAGCTCACTCACCATCCCTGGGGAGTCACTAATCCTCAGTCGGTCCATCGCAGAGTGGAGCTGGCACCCACGCCAGTGTCACAGGGGGAGGCAAGTGAGATGACGGCACACACAGTCACCTACGTGATTACTGTCCAGTGACTGTAACCACTGGTGAGTGGCTACCTAGTGATCACCGGAACACTTTAACAGGAACTTCCCAAGTAATGGAGTGCTGCATCTCTCCTCTCCTACACACACACATGCTCACACGCAGCCCCACAGCACCCCTCACACAGCCGTACACGCATGCTCCTCACATGTCCACACAGCCCTACAGGTACTCCTCACATGCTCACACACAGCCCTACACGTGCTCTTCACACACACATTCACACGCAGCCTTACACTCGTACTCGCACGTTCACATGCAGCCCTACACGCATACTCCTCACACTCGTTCACACGCAGCCCTACAGCACTCCTTACACATTCACAGCCCTACACACGTGCTCCTCACACATTCACACACTGCCCTACACTCGCACTCTCACACACGTTCACACGCAGCCCTACAGCATACTCCTTACACATTCACAGCCCTACATGCGTGCTCCTCACATTCACACGCAACCCTACACACACTCTGCTCAGCTGCTCACACACAGCCCTATACTCGCACTCCTCACAAAAGCCAACAGGGTTGGTACTGGTTAGTAAAATTTTTCTTACATGACACAGTTCAAAGTCTTTGTAGATATATAATCTTTTTTCTAACAATCACACCCCAGTAAGATTAAAAAACAAAAAACAAGACCCCCAAAGATCTAAAGTCATAAGGCCTCAGAATTGAGGAACCTGCAAAATCTGACACTTATCTCATCCAAGGGTAGAACTACTGAATTTAAGTGAATGAGATGTGTGTTAAACACAAGTGACAGCCACCGTGGCTAGGGCAAGAACTCATCCAAGAAGATGCTGGTGTGAGCCCCAACTCATCTAAGCAGAACTCACATCAACAGGCTCCACTGAGCTGGTGAGGGCCTGCGGCAGCCCCAACCCCACCCCACAGCACCAAGGAGGAGCCTACCCAGCACACTTTGGAAGCAGCCAGACAGCTCTGGGCTCCTCTTGGGCAGCGGTGGCGGCTAGGGAGCCTGGAGCACAGTCCTGGAGCAGAGGAAATGTTTGCATCCTGCCAACTGCTCCTTGGCTTTCAGCAGCTGCAGGAGCAGCTGGCTCTACAGCAGTCACAGAGCGAGCCCTTGTTCTGGAGCAGGAGAGCACTATGCTCTGTGAGAACGACATTTCCACCCGAGTCTTCACCCAGCTACCTTCCTGAGCTAGCACCCAGGCTGCGGAGCTCGCTACTCATGCTCCTATGAATAATTAAATGACCTCAGTGGCTTATCCAGGGAAAATCCTCCTCCCTCTATAAAAGTCAAGTTTATCCAATTCTTTGTTTCATGAAGAAACTAGAGTTAGGAGATCAATTATCCCTAAGCCAGTGTAATTAATTAAAATCCACCTGCTTCCAGGAAAGGTAGGCTGGACATAAGGATTTACTCCAGTTCCTCCTGGTGAAAAAGCAAAGGGTTTACACTTTATTCTTTTAAAGGGATGAATTGCTAGGACAATAAGAACACAAGGAAAGAAGACATGACAGTTTTGAAGACCTGAAGGTAGCAGAACTGAGTCCTGAATTGATAGTGCAGAGGCATGACAACCCCCACAGGCCTTCCTGGGTGGTGCCAGGGAAGGGGTGAGCTCAAACAGAAAGATTCCAAGGCATCTTTCTGAGCACATCACTACAACCCCCAGGCCAGGCTTCTGCTCCACAAAGCTATGGGGTCGCTCCTGTCCCCATACTGGGGAAGCTTAAAGATACTGGACAGGACGAGACAGAGGCCTCTGGGGGAAGGTCTGGGTGTGCTTTGCAGGACGGGGTGCACTGACAGAACCAGGGGCCCAGAAGATGTGTGTGCTGTGGTGCTGCCCCTAGGCCCTGTCCCAGGAAGATGGCGGCCAGGGCCTGACATTGAGTCAGATCCTCTCTGGGTGCCCAGGGCAACTGCAGTACTAGGGTCGTAGAAAAACTGCCTTCCACGGGTAACGCGCCATCAGAGCACCTCAAGAGAAGCCAGTACCAATAAATCCTACACGAGGGCACCAGGCACAATTCACCCTTGTTTTCCCTCATTTCTTATTTATTTATTTATTTATTTATTTGGTACAGGGTCTTGCTTCGCAGCTCAGACTCGTAGTGATCCTGCTGTCTCAGCCTCCCAAGTGCTAGGATTACAGGTGTGAGCCACCACGCCTGGTTCCAGTGGCTGGCACAGTGTTCCCTGGGCTCCAGGGCCAGCATGTCATGCAGTACTAGGGATCAAACCCAGGTCCGTGAGTTTGCCAGGCAGGCACTTAGACCGCCAAGCCATCTCCCTGGCTAGTTTTCCCCATTTCTATGCAGCGGACAGGCAGGCACTGCCTGACACCGGAGGAAAGAGTGGAAGAGGAAAGGGTGCAGAACGAAAGGGAACTCAATGCACACTGCAGGGAGCAGCCACCACAGCCGGACTGCAGGGGGCTCGGCACGGCCCACGGCCACTGTCATCGGCAGAGTGACTGCAGGGGGGCTCCCAGAAGGGGGACAAGGCAGCGTCGGACACAAGCGACTCCACGCGCCACAGCTCCTTGTCTGTGAAGCAGGACAAACAAGAGTGCTGACTCGCAGCGCTCTTACACAGCTGTAGAACAAAGCAGAGCAGGCGCAGCCGCGAGCCATCTCTGCTTCAAGTGGCTGGCTGTTTACGCTATGCTAACAAATAACAGTACAGTAACTAAAAAGGAAAAAAATCAATGCGATACACATGTTCAAACTGAATACATTTCCAGATTTGGAATGACTGGGAAGAAGCGAATTTGCTATCCCAAAGCTCTGAGAGCGTCCCTTCCTCTGAAGTACTCACTATAAACACGTGTGCACACAGCACACGCTCCACAGACATTCAGTGGGCAAGCGGGAGCTGACTGTGTTCAGTGACTCTTAATATTTGGACCACTTAGTTGAGAATTAAAATGATAGAGTATAGCCCAAAAATATAAAATAGAAAATATTTTAGAAAGTTATTTTTAAATGTTTTAAATTTTAAAAATACTCCAGTATTTTTGACTCATAATTTTTTTTTCTCCTGCCATTCTCTTGTAAGCAATAGGTATGTTCTGCAAAGTCATTCACACAATAAATATGAAAACACATACCAGTTACTTACCCCACTTAATAAAAAACAAGTATTCAGAAACATCTGTAATTTTTTCTACATCCTAACAGAAGCCTACAGAAAAGTTTTAAAATGCAAACAGTAAAGTCAAGACTCACAGAAAAAGGAGGATTCCAGTGTTTGCCAGGGCAAAGGCGAGCCCCAAGATCCCGCTGCCCATGATGGCGTTGCTCAGGTTAAAGACAGACATGCCCAGCGAGGTCGTTCCCGGAATCTGAATAAAGACACAAATACTCGGTGAGCCAAGCGTCTCCTGAAGACGCAGCGAGCACAGCCTTCGAGGCAGGCTGGGAACCGCCACGGAAACTTATTTCCAGACATTCTTCCTCAGTAGTCTAGTAACTGTTTTTTTAAATAGCTTTCAGAGAAAAATACATAAGATCTAGTTATGCTTTCAGTGCTAAACTACAGAAGCTTAAAACATCTGTCCTAATTTACATGGTTAAAAATAAGCACACTGGGCTGGGGATATAGCTCAGTGGCACAGTGCCTGCCTGGCAAACATGAGGCTGTGAGTTCGATTCCCAGTACCAAAAAAAAAAGAATCAGTACACTTACTCAATAATACTTACATATTCATCACATTTCTTCTTCTCCAAATGGCTGTTTGTGAGACTTCTCCTACTTTCACGATCAGAAATAAATTTGCTGTAAAGACATGCACAACAAACACACTTAGCCTTATGATAATGATTCAAAGCTTAACATCAAGACTAAATGATTTGGGGCCGGGATATAGCCTAGTGGCATAAGCACCTGCCTGGCAAGCGCAAGGTCCTGAGTTCAAGTGCTAGTACCAAAAAAAAAAAAGTAAGTCTAAATGATTTATTTCTCACCACAACACACTGCCCATGAAGTCACGAACTGTCTTGCACAACAGTCGATAGCCCTATTCGATACTTCATGATAATCGATAGCCCTATTCAACACCTCTCCCATCTTTTCTTTGGGGGGACACACAGTATCAGTTGTGTTATTCCTGCTTTACCAAATAAACTTTAAGAGCTTCATTTTTATATCCCTCATTCTACCCAGTAAAAAACTTGCCAATAGTAGGTGCTCATCTTGAGATGAGATGAAAGACAACTGCAAGTCAAAAAGAGCTATAATTTTAAGTAACATACTATATATAATAAAATGTAACTTTAACGTACATTCTTATCTAAGTGCAATTAGGTAACGCCACGACCATTACAAATGTGCTAGTTTAAGGAACACCAGAGGCCACGTGCAGCCCGAGCCACATTCTTGGGACACAAAGCTGCTGCACAGGAATTTCCTCTCCCTCCCAAAACAGAAAGCAACTGTTTCGACATAAAACACTCCTTCAGCACCTGCCACATGTGAGTCATGGGGACAGGGGACAAGGGCGTCAGGGGGCTCCTTCACAGACGGTACCTGCAGCCGGCTCCAGGAATCAAGACAGGACTTCAGGTGGGGGAGGGTAACATACAGTCCACCCTTAGGACCAAAGCTAGGACTGTAAGAAAACATGCAAGTCACAATTTGAGTTCAAGTCCTCACTAGGTCTGAGGGCCTGGGCACACTACCTTGGATTCCTCTTCTGTGACATGGGAAGTAACACTGTCTCACAGTCTTACTGGGAGACCTCAGAGCAGGTGGCCAAGTGTCGTAGCACACACCTGTGAGCTTAGCACTCGGGAGGCTGAGGCAGGAAGATCGCCTCAAGTTGGAGGCCAGTTTGGGCTACTCAGTGAGTTCAAGGCCAGCCTGGGCTAGACAGTGAGACCCCACATCTAAATAAATCTGTGACTACAAACAAGAGCATGTGTAACACACCAGCCCAGCATCTAGCACACACAGCAACAGTCTTGTCCCCATGGGGAGTGGGACTCAAGTTAGGGTGGGGAAGAACCAGACAGGCTGAATGCCACAAGCCACCTGTAAGTACCTGGAAATGAGCACTGGCAACACTAAGGGCGTCGAGTGTACTTAGGGGTAAAGCCACAGCTTTATGGTTTTCAAGCTTTAGCTCTAGAGTGCTCTCCCAAATTCTGGCGCACCCAGAGGCACAGCTGGAGAGGATCCTAAGGGCATGGGACTCACGGGGAGCATGTGGCTGACAGGTCAACGCAAGTGCGTCTCCCCGCTGGTGCCTCCCTCCTCTCGCCCTCCTACTGTGCTGCTGCTCCTTGGCTCCAGCTGACTGTGGCCTGAACCGTGAGCCTGGGTAAACCTCTCCCACTAGACCAGAGGGCTGGAGACTGTGCCTCAGCGGCAGCCAGTGAGTAGCACGAGAGCGTGAGCCCTTAACACACTCTACATAAACGGGCACAGCTTTTGCCAGGTTAAGGTCCACACTGAGACAGGACGCTCTATGCACTGCTGGAACATGTTGATGAGGTTTTTGATCCTTCCAGGTCTGGAAACTCAGTGGTGTGGTTATGCTGAGTGAGGTCTAATCACAGCGAACTTGTCATTAATAAATTTAAAACCACCCACACTGGACTTTCAGAAGTTCACTATCTTAGTGGAAATTACGACAGCACAACTACCAGAAGGACTCCATGAGAAAGCTGGCTTCTTCGGAGAAAACACACACCTGGGTACCCGAGCAGCTCAGAGATGGCGCGCTCTCGCTGACCTGTAGAAGACCCCCTTTCTTGAGAAAGAGGACCCCAGCAGGCAGTGCTCTACAAAGTTCTGCCAGTGTCGAGCTTATCCCAGTCACCGTGTGTGTCGATGTGTCCCTGGCTTCGCTGCAGGACAGCTCCGGGTGCCAGCTTCAGGCATGGTCTCGTAAGGGTGCCAGGCAGATGTGCTGCAAGCTGGCAGCCTCAGATGACTCACTCAAAGAAGCTTCAAATACATACCCGCACTGCGACCTCCTCTTGCCCCGGGATGGCGCTACATCTCCTTGAGAATACCCATGAGAAACAGGCAGACCACAACCAAAGGTAGCCAAGGGGGATGCTTTGCGGGCTCTGGGATAGGCTCTAAGGTCTAAGAGCAGATGGGTGATACGCTTGGGTGTAGGTGTCCCCCAGAGCCGCACGCAGCCGTGGGCCAGCTTCTCGAGTTGGTGATGATATCACGGTCTGCCAATGGGCGTATGGGTATGAGTGCTGCACCGGCCCTGGAGGGGCAGCCCAAGCACTGCAGGAGGGCATGAGGGAACAAGGCCTGCTCCCTGCGCCTCCTCCACGTGCCCCTGCTGTTTGCCACTGTGCCCTGGAGTCAGCTGATTATGTGCTGAACCATCTACAAACTGGGAGCGAAACAACCTTTCTTTCCTTAATTTTTGGCATCAAGTATTTTGTCTCAGCAATGAGAGAAAAACAACCAAGACAATGCATATGTGCAGCTGAGGGATGATCTATTTTCAAGGTGGGACTCTACCCCTCGGTTATTTGCTGTAATGCACAAGTCTGTATCCAAAGTTGCAACAACAGGATGCCCTTCTTTTCTACATCCAGACCGCTCACCGATGCGCCTGCTGAGTCCCTGAAGAACTGAGACAGATGCGAAGCAGCATGAACAGCCTGGATCGGCGGCCTGGCGCTTCGGCAGTGCATTCTTCAACTCCTAGCTCTGGAACTAGCACGTGGTGCTGTGCACACAGCCCCTTGCACAGCAGCAGGCATGTTACAGGCAGGGGCCACACTGGCCACGTTTTGGGTGAGCAGGATTAGTGGCACCTTCAAACAAAAGCATGTGCTGGTTAAAAAACATTCGGCAAGGGAAGCAGCTGGTGGAAGACCGACCCAGGAAACACTAGTGTTAACTGCAAATGCAGGGGCCAGATGCAAACTGCTTCTTGTACTGCTACTCCTGTGCCACTGAGGAACCATACTGTTATATCTATTTCTGACTTTTATCTAAGACCTATGGATTCTCAGGGTCACTCTCAAATTTTATTTTCTAAAAGCTGGAGAAAGCTCCATCTGCCAGCTCTGAACCAGCCCACTGAGTCACCTGCAGACAAACTCACGGCGTCAGCTAGGCGCCCAGCAAGTTTTGGTTTCTACCAAACCCGTCAAGTTTCTCATGTGCATTCTCTTTCCTGTGTGTCCACTGCTGCTTACGATTTCTTCACGTTTAGTCCCTTAGGAACTGTAACTCTGCCCCGGAGAAAGCAGCCAGGGCTTAGGAGGCTCTTCGATACCAGGTGAGGGGCTCTAACAGGGAGCTCAGGACTCACATTCCAGAGACAGCAGTTCGGCTGTGCTCCCTGGCGCAGCAGTCTGTCTACTGTGGCTCGTCAGAGTCCAGCCTTGTCTGAGGGCAAGCCGTGAGGGTGTGAAACAGCTAGCAAGGGTGCCATGTGCTCGGGCACTGGCAGCCTCACCAGAATAGCTGTGCCCCGGCCCTCTCTCTGGAGCATGGAGCACCGGAGGCCCCAGTGGCTAGGCTCGCAAACAGGGTGTGCTCACACCCTGGCCTTTCTCCCGGCCACGAGGCCACTGACAGAGCCCTGTCACGGCAGGGTGATACTGTGCAGCTTACACCAAGTGACCTGTGTCTGTCTGTCCATCTCAAACTTGCTCTGAGACCGTCACTTGGCATCAGCTGCACAACCTGTGACCTGCCCGTTGCTGTTGTGAACCCAAAGGACACGGAAGAAAAGTCAATTACCTGAAGTGCAGGCGCTCACTTCACCTACCCTGGCTGTGCCGGCACAGGAGTGCTCGGCTACGCGAAATTAAGATGCACCAAGGAACTTCTGAAACCAGTTAGCTACAAAAACACTGTAAGGCAGAAAGTAGACAAATAGTACTGCCTGTTCTTAGTAGGAAAATGACATAGTGAAAGTGAATCTTTGGAGACCAACTCTGGCAAGTGCACTGCGCTGCGATTAGTCCTTGCTTTGCCCTTCGTGCTCTGAATCCTTCCAAAGCTGAGGTTTACCCTTTCCTTGTGCCAGGCTTTCCGAAATGAAACGGACTCGGAGCCTGTGTGCGAGTGACTCCGGGCTACCCAATCTTTTCCACTGGTACCCCATTTGCTGTCTTGAGGAAACTTGTTTTCCAAAGAGAATTTCCCTTATTTTTACATTAAGAGAGAAGCTTGAGCATTTTTTCAGATAAATCAAATAAAGCACCGTAAACCACCTGTGGTAGCAGACTTCAGGTCCAGGCCTGGCAGCACTGGCTGGTTGGACTGGAGCAGAGAAGAAAGGGACCAGGCCTGTGCCACAAGGGGACATGGCGCATTAAGGAGGCCACCCCTGCCTGGTGGCCAGCTCTTTCCTGCAGAGCTGCCCTATGCATGACCATTAAAAAGAACCTACAGCACGCGGTCAGTGCCGCCCTGGTCCTGTCTCCCTGGCCCACTTTCTGCAGCAAGACTTCACAGCCCCCGCCCCATCTCTGGCTGCCCTGCTGCATCGGTCCAGGGCCAAGCTCCTCACCCAGTACTTCTGCTCTCCCAGGTGCTGCTGCATGTAGTTGGCCTCCACCCCAAGCTCAGTTCTCTCCGTGACCTGCCAGGAGTAGGTGGAGGTGCTGAGACCGGAACAGGGCATTCCGAGGACGCAGACCTAAAGTTGGGACCAGGCAGGCAGGGAAGCCAGTTTCCCCGTGAGAGGGCCACATCCAACCCTCCTGCCAGTTCAAGATTTCTTTTTTTTTTTTTTTTTCCTGGTACTGGAGATTAAACCAGTACCTGTACAACCTGGGCTCCATTTT